GCAGGCCAGGCTTCCCTGTCCATCACCAACTCCCAGAGTTTACTCAAACTCATGTCCATTGAGTCAGTGATGCCATCAAACATCTCATCCTCTGCTGTCCCCTTCTCCCCCCACCTTCAATCTCTCCCAGCATCAGGGTCTTTTTAAATGAGTCAGTTCTTCACATCAGGTGGCCAAAGTATTGGAGTTTCAGCTTCAGCATCAGTCCTTCCAATGAATATTCAGGACTGATCTCCTTTAGGATGGACTGATTAGGATTGCTTACAAGGTAATAAAGAATCATGGCTGATCTGGCATAATGTCTTAAGCTATTTCTATGAATAATCTGGAAGTAATGTATGAGAGGGCTTGAAAGAAGAAGAGAATGGTAAGCAGGAAAATCTGTTTAAAATATATTTAAATTAATTCAGGTATAAACTCATAAGGTCCAGGGCTAAGGTAAAACCAGGGGAATGGAAAAAATCGGATAAATTTAAGAGACATNCCTTGGACTGCAAGGAGATCCAACCAGTCCATCCTAAAGGAAATCAGTCCTGAATATTCATTGGAAGGACTGATGCTGAAGCTGAAGCTCCAATACTTTGGCTACTTGATGCGAAGAACTGACTCATTAGAAAACACCTTGATGCTGGGAAAGATTGGAGGCGGGAGGAGAAGCGGATGACAGAGGGTGAGATGGTTGGATGGCATCACCAACGCAATGGACATGAGTTTGAGTAGGGTCTGGGAGTTGGTAATGGACAGGGAAGCCTGGCATGCTGCAGTCCATGGGGTCACAAAGAGCTGGACATGACTGAGCGACTGAACTGAAAGGACCTTAGATCCCTGAGTTGGGATGATCCCCTGGAGAAGGGAACAGTACCCACTCCAGTATTCTGCCCTGGAGAATTCCATGGACTGTATCGTCCAAGGGGCCTCAAAGAGTTGGACATGACTGAGAGACTTTCACTTCACTTCACTTCAAGGACTTTAAAAGTTATACTTACAGACACTCCTTTTCAAAGATGAGGAAGCTAACATCAGAAAGTTTATGTAATTAGTTCATGGTCATGTCAGTGTTAGCTTTGAGAAAATGGCTAGAATCCATGAAGAGATACTTTGAGCAGTTGGGATTACGCTGCTGGTGGGAAATCATCATTGGGTGGATAGATCTGAGGAGTCATCTGACAGGCAGAGACATGCAAATGGATATACTCTTCAAAGAGAGATTACCAACAGACAAGAGAAGAGAAATGATGAATGATAAAGTCATAAGGAATCTCCACTCTTAGGAATTCAAACTAGAAGGGAGATGGCTCCCAAAGGAGTTCAGGAAGGATCACATATGAGGACAATCAGAAGTGGCCAGATTCAGATACTGTAGTGTGTTGCCCTTATGATACATTCAGTCTTTTGTTACTTCTTTTATTTTGTGTAAAACTCAGTATCCTACTGCATTTTTATGTAAACACCATCACATATTTTGTCAATACTTTATTTCTTGTTGATTTTCTTCCTAAGTATGTCCCTTTATTTCTTTGATTATTAATATTTAATAATAAGCAAACATGAACTAACATTTCATATTAGAAATATTGACAAAAATCTACCTATGTCCTGCTCTTCCATCCCATCTCTCTGACTCACTACAAATATAAGCACTATTTTTTGCATTTTTGTATAGTTTTTACCACTATGTGTATATATATACCTGCTAAATAAATTTCATAGCTACTTTTTTACTTTAAAGGGGCTATTGTTGTTGTTGTTGAGTCGCTAAGTCGTGTCCAACTCTGCAACCCCATGGACTGCAGTATGCCAGTCTTCCCTGTCTTTTACTATCTCCCAGAGTTTGCTAAAACTCCATTGAGTCGATGATGCCATGCAACCAGCTCATCTTCTGTTGTCCTCTTCTACTCCTGCTCTCAATCTTTCCCAGCATCATGGTCTTTTCCAATGAGTTGGCTCTTTGCATCAGGTGACCAAAGGATTGGAGCTTCAGCATCAATCCTTTCAATGACTATTCAGGGTTGATTTCCTTTAGGATGGACTGGTTTGATCTCCTTGCTGTTCAAGGGACTCTCAAGAGTCTTCTCCAGCATCACAGTTCAAAAGCATCAGTTCTTTGGTGCTCAGTCTTCTTAACTTTCACATCCCACTTGACTATAGGAAAAATCATAGCTTTGACTATATGGACCTTTTTTGGCAAAGTGATATCTCTGCTTTTTAATATGCTGCCTAGGTTTGTCGTAGCTTTTCCTCCAAGGAGCAAGCGTCTTTTAATTTCATGGCTCCAGTCACCATCCACAGTGATTTTGGAGTCCAAGAAAATAAAGTCTGTCATTATTTCCATTTTTTTCTCCTTCTATTTGCCATGAAATGATGACATCGAATGCCATGATCTTAACTTTTTGAATGCTAAGTTTTAAGCCAACTTTTTTGCTCTCCTCTTTCACCTTCATCAAGAGGCTCTTTAGTTTCTCTTTGCTTTCTGCCATTAAGGTGGCATCATCTAAATATCTGAGGTTTTGGAACTTACTTTTTCATACAGTATTATGTTGTTTAAGATTCATTCATATGGGGGCTTCCCTGGTGGTCCAGTGGCTAAGACTCTGAACTCCCAATGGAAGGAGCCCAGGTTCGATCTCTGGTCAGGGAACTGATACCACATGCCCCGACTAAGACCCAGCACAGCCAGAAAATAAAGATTCATCCATATTGGCATATGTAGCTGTAGTCCATTCACTTGTACTGCTCTGTAATATTTCATATATGACCATATACTTCACTTTATTTTCCTATATCCAGAAATAGGAAAATTTCCACTTAGCCTATTTCCAGATAGTTTATTTTGAATAGTGCTTCTATGAACATTCTTGTGCTTGTCCCCTGGTGTATATTGCAAGGGCTTGTATTGGGTATATATCTACTTAAATTCATTTAAAACTCTTTTTGTGAAACATAGCACATTAGAATGGCATTAGGTGAATTTTCTGATTGTGGAAATTCAAGTCTAAAATAATCAGCATCTTTTCCTAAGGTGAAATATTCAATTACCACCCTAGGAGCCTTATATAGTGCACACTCTAGATAAGGGCTGTTTACCAAATGTTTTCTTGGGGAGCAAAATTATAAGCTGGAATTGGTCACTGATTTTTTTTCCCACTGACCCAATTTAATGTCAATGCTATTTTCAGGATACAAAAGGAAAACTGAGGGCCAGAGGCAAGGAAGAGAGGTAACAGGTTAACTGAAGCTTACCACTGCTTGGCAGCTAGTCCAGCAAAATTCACCTTCATCTTATTTGAGGGTCCTCTTACCTTTCCCAGCAGCCCTCCTTGTGTGAGGGTGAACAATATGAACAAAAAGAACCAAGGAGAAGGGCTCTGTCAGCTTTGTTCACTCAGAATCAGTTGATTGTCTGCCAAGAAAAGTTTCTCATTTTCAAGAGGTTCTGAGCTTAAAATTCTCATCTCTTTGTGAACACACAAGAAAGAACTCTTCTCTGGCCAGGGATCCTACATGTGTGTATGTATGTGCACAGAGGCACAGACGGACGTGCAAAGAAAAAGTGAACACTGGACAGACACAGAAGCTATACTGCCATTCTCTTTATTATCATTTTCTACTTTTGAAGTGTAACAGATATATTTTCACTTAAATATAAATTGTTAGTATACCATACATATCGGTAACCTTGTTGCTAAAACTTCTCACTCATTTTTCCTTGTAGTAATCTACCTTGAAAATCTACTTAGATTTCTAAGTCAAACCTCCTAATTTCCTGCTTTTACCAAACATCTTAGCCTTTGTGCCCAATGACGGTTTACTCCCTTTCACACCCATCTCACAGGGTGTCATGATGAAAGAGAAAGAATGGGTATCTGGTTATCTATGGATGCAGAAATGGAGGACTATCCAAAGGGGTCAGTGAATTATCTGTGTGACATGAGCCATATTGGCTTTCAGGGGGATCTTCTATGACAAGATCTTTAGGGAAGAATTTTGTAGTCTGTAATTTCTAGTCATTTGCTGTGCTCCTATTTTCTTCTTGGGAAATAGATTTTTTAAAAAGTTGAATAGTATACAAATGGCATGTGTTTAGGTGGAGCACAGTGCCAATGCATTACCAATTATTCCAAGCCCACACATAAAACATACATAAAGAAAGTATTGTTTCTGAATTGCAATGTGCTTTCTACAAGGAGATATTTAAAATAGGATGGAAACAGAGGTTTCTTCCTTCTTTGGACAGTACTATAAGGCGTAAGAATTCCCTTACTATGTCAAAGGAGGGTACATTTCTCAATTTGTTTACCACCCCCATTGAAAGGGCTGGATGTAAATTGTATCCAATTAAGGTCTGTGCCTACAAGTACATTCCTGTAGAGTAGATATTATTTGGAAATTCTCTGTGCAACACCTATTCAGGATTTATCTAAGCATATTGTTAATATTTAAGTTTTCTAGACTCAGTCCTATGAAATAACATTGCTATCATTGCATGTTTACCCACCCCCAGTTTCCTTTAAAAAATATGAAAATTTGACTGCAAATAGGTAGATTAGAAAAGGTGAATTCTTCTTGTAGGAAGAGCATTAACTGGAACATTCTGATTCTTGAAAATTAGTACAGCAATTTTTTTTAACAGATAAAAGAACTTCTTATCTTATGAAGAGCTGCATTAATTACAGCCTCAAATTCTGTTTCATGCGTCCTCTTTCAGAGCCAAGGAGAAAGCAGAAAAGATGTGTTGTTGGAAGTCTGTACTCCATTTTCTTCTTTCTTTTTGTAGAATAGCTTTCTGAAAGGTAAATAGTACAGAAATGCCATGAGTTTAGGTGGAACATAGTGCCAAAGCAATACTAATTTTTCCAACAACAACAGTAGCTATAACTTTAAAAACAAAAAACAAATTCCAGTGTTATGAGTAACTTTGCTGATCATAATGAAAGAAGATGAAATTTAATGTCAATAGCAGTATGAGTGTAGGAGGTAATTCTATTTCATTTTATTTTCAGACAAAACAGAAATGGAACATGGTGATACAAGCAAATCAAATACAAGCAAATGAAAAAGTCCAGGTAAAGAGTGTAGACATATCTTTGATCTACATTAAGACCAAAAGCTTTGGATTTAGAGCTATAAAAGGCAGTTTTCATTTTCATTGCATTTATTTCATTTTCATTTTAATTATGTTAAGACCTACAGTTCCCTTATTTCCTCACATTACCCTTTTTATGTGATAGTGATCAACTAAATACACGGCTGTATAAAAGGAACATGGGAATAATCTATTGAGCAGATATTCTCTATAATGGCAATACTGCTGTACATGCAAAGTTCACCAATATCCGCTTCCTGTTTTCTTTGCCCCTCTTCATGAACTTTGTCCCCTTTCCTATTTAGCAACAACCCTTGCCCAAGCTTTGTCCAATGATTGGTTTAAGTCCAGTATATGTGTGCATACAAGCCTGCTATATATAGTGGTGTTATCTACATGCTTAGGGTTAGGGGGAAATTCTTTCATTTTTTTAATGCATCTATAAAAGAAGCCAGGATATTTTTATGCACTGTTACTAGAGACCACATTCTCCATAACACATCCAGGAAAAAGATCAGATCAAATGGAATACTTATAAGATATGAAAGAATTTAAAGTAGCAGCAAGCAAGTCTAATTCTATGAGATAAAACACAAGTAACAAAATGGCAACCCATTCCAATATTCTTGCCTAGATAATCCCGTGGACAGAGGAGCCTGGTGGGCTGCTGTCTATGGGGTTGCACAGAGTTGGACATGACTGAAGCAATTTAGCAGGTATGCATGCAACAATCTTATTATTCTTCTGTAAAAGTTCTAGATAAATGAACATGTTGAGTCTGGTAAAATAACTGAGTCTAATAGGGAATTTAGACTCATCAAATTAAAGCCAGTGCCCTTTGGTGCTCAGAATGGGTTCACATTTACAAATGGTGTTGCCTAATGTATTAGAAAGAGCCCCACAAACCTAGATTTGAATTTCAAATCTGCCATTGATTGGCTGGTGACCTTGGCCAGTTGACCTTCTGATCCTCAGTACTCCTCCACAATGGGGGAAAATGATGTTTAGCTTGCAGAGCTGTTGGTAAGGATAGCTATTCATTGGGTAGCTGTTCTATAAAGTGTCTAGAAGGGTGGCTGACACATATGACCTCAAAAGTAAGTTGCTTTTGTTTTTACTGTTATTGCACATCTTTACACACTGGTTTTCTATCAAATGCCTCTAATATTATAATGAACATAAAGACCCCATTGAACCTGAAATCATAAGTAAGATAATAAAATGCCTGAAATTTAGAGAAGACTTTTGATCCAGAATACTCAAAATCCTCCCCTTCTAATTTCTCCTCCAGTTAGTTTTGTGAAGTGAAAGGAATACTCTTGTGAGCAAATCCAGGAGCAGGGGTGAGATGGGATATCACTGCCTGGCTGCACCACTTTTACCAAGTCAGTCCAGGCTAAGTGAAGGGACAGAACGGCACCAGGAGGAAGGTGGGCAAAAGGAAACAAGGAGTGAAGTCTTCACATCTTAGGCCACCAGGGATGTCTCAGAGGATCCCATCCACTTACACATAATGCAAATCAATTTGAGTCACCTGCTGAAAAAATAAATAAATAATTTGGAAAATGTTGCAATTTATACAGAAGCTAAGAAGGAAAGCAAAGACGTGGGCTCCTCTCAAATATCATTTTAAAAAAAAATTTTGTCCAGAATTAGCCCAGTCATTGCTTCCCTTCTCGGCTTTTCTCAAGCTGTCAAAAGAGAGCCAAATTTAGTTCTTGGTTCCTTCAGGTTTCTTGCTGGCTGCCAAATAATACGAGGCCCTTCATCTCCTCCCTGGTGTTGCAATCCTTCACAATTGCTTCATCCACCAACTGCCTCACGCCAACACTTTGCCTACTGTTTTCTTCTCTGTCTCTCCTTCCTGTGTGGCCACTTGGCCTGTTTGCCAGCCGCAGATTGGCCCAGAACAGCAGGCTGTCACGTGACCAAGTCCCAGCCTCTGCGAAGCACCCACGTCTGAATTTCCATGACGCACCTGCTGCCGTCACATTGGCTCTCAAGTAAGTCAGTGGTCAAATCTTTTCCAAAAGTGGTTTTGACAGAGAACAGCTTAAATCACCAAAGATGTTGACAAATGCGCTGTTATCTAGGAAAGTGAGTAAAGCAACTCGTTTGAACGACAGGAACAGATAAGGCCCACCTCTTTGTCTCCTTGCCTTTTTACACTGGTATTCCTGTGGAGGCAAAGGGAAAGAATGGAAAGGAAACAAAGGCAAATCTTTAGTGCTGGCTGTCCCAGGGTTGATTAGGTTGCTGATCTGTGTGGCAGGTTTCTAGGTTCTCACCCAACTTCTTGGCTGCTGTTCAAAGGATTTAACAGTGCGCTTTGTAAATAGTGGTGTACAAAGCCGTTCTAAAAATAGTACATTTCCAGGGTCTGAATTGGGTGAGTGGAATGAGTGGCAATGACTGTATTGTACAAAACAGATTACAAGCAAGTTACTCGATGGTACTTGATATGCAGGGTTATTCACATGCTTCCTCTGGCTTGGTTAAATAATGCAAACACATTTACCAATGTACATGATCGTTCTGTTTATTTGTGCTCTGGAGAACTCATGTGTGTTTATGACTGACAAATGTACTTGTTCTATTTTCTGACAATCAAACAAAGCTCTTGCGATGAGGTAAATAGCTGAGTTAAATAGTGGAGCCGACACTCCTGAGAATCGCTGATGTGACACTATGGTGGTTGTTAATGACAGGTTTCCTGCTGCGCTTTCTGCCCAAAAGGATTTTTGCTGAAGGTGGGAATCAACAAGAGGCTCTGATGACTAGGGGGACTGCTGGGTTTGGCTAAAATCTCTCTGGAAACCATGTGTGTGAAAGCTTGTGCCTCGTAAGTAATTTTTCACTGAGGGAGCTACTGCTCTTGTTCTTCCTTGTCCTGACACCTGTGGTTGGGCTGCTTGGGACCTCAGAGAGTAGCACAGTCCTTGCTGTCACCTACTGCAAAAGGCAGGTCAGAGGTACTTTTCACTGAAGACTCAGGCTCAGGGAGAGCCCCAACGGAACTTTAAATAAGAACATAATTACCTGAAATGAAATGCTGTGATGTGTTTGCAGTCATTTGAAAGCAAGACACCCCTTCTGTTTTCAGCTATAAGTGGTACTTGTTCCTATACATTCTGAGAAGAGAAATGTTCTCTTACCAAAATGCAATATAATTATTTCTTACATAAATAGTTGTGTTTCAGGCAATTTGAAGATGCTCTTTTTTAATATCAGTAACAATGTGGAAAATCTTAGGTGAACACTTTGATTGTTCTGACAGGTCAGTTTCCTCTTAGAAGTCAGAAACTGAGAATAGGGACAGCTCTTGAAGGAGTCAGACCAGGGAAATACATTAAAGAGGATTAAAAAAAAAAAAACAAACTCAGCCTGTCACTTTAGCAAACATTTCTCCTACCCAAATTTCATGCCTATAACTTGATACAGTCTTGGGTAGATTGGCTCTGACAGTCTGGAAGTGTACATTTTGACACTCCTCTCTCCCCCACTTCTGTATGACTTTGGGAAAGGTCCAAAAACTCTTTGACTCTCCAGTTTTCTCATCCATGAAATGGTTAGAATAATATCCGCCTCACTACGAGGATTAAATAGGTAATGTAAGCAATGTTCTTGGCCCATGGTAGTAAATGGGATGCAGTTAGACAGCATTCCTGGACATGGCCTCTCACCTGCCTAATAACATCCTGCTGCTGCGGCTGCTGCTAAGTTGCTTCAGTCGTGTCCGACTCTATGCGACCCCATAGATGGCAGCCCACCAGGCTCTGCCATCCCTGGGATTCTCCAGGCAAGAACACTGGAGTGGGTTGCCATTTCCTTCTCCAATGCATGAAAGTGAAAAGTGAAAGTGAAGTTGCTCAGGCCTGTCTGACTCTTTGTGACCCCATGGACTG